TGTGAATTTATTATAGCACATACTGGATAATGCATATACCGTTTCATTTCATTACACTTTTTAAAATTTCCTGTTGAAAAAGATGATAAACATTTAGTTTATTTTGAAATGCTTTTTTGATTCTTTCCTAATGCTAAACAAATTCTTTTATTATTCATTCCATACAATTCTAATCGATTTTATGATAGCAATTTTGTGTTATTTTTTTTAGTTTATTTTTCCTCATTTTTTTTTTTTAATTTAAAATTTTAGTATGAGAAATTTTTGTTAATATTTTTTTAATACTATGAAGAAATTGAAAAAGTTTTGAATAAAATTAATACTTCTTTAGGTTGTTTTGAATATGCGATCAAATACGAGCGAAAAAATCCTCGATCGATGTCCAACATTTGTTACAAAGGATAAGGTTGGTGGTATGTTCAGGATGAAAATGGCACCCAAACGATCAATTCAGATTAAGGGTCATCAATTTATGTTAACACCTGTCAACTTAACCGTTTACTGCTATCAATGTCGTGATGCTGTATGGGGAGTTAATGCTCAAGCATATTTTTGCCAAAGTAATCATTTAATCGTTAAACATCAATAGATTAAATAAATTAGATTATTAAAATAGAATTAATTTAATGTTATCCATAAAAATTTGTTTACACTATCACTTGCAAATATTTTTTTCACCTGCATTGATTTGTTTGACAATAAAGATTGATAATAACAATTTTAGATTGTGATGTTGTTGTGCATAAGCAATGTACATCTTCTCTTCCTGATCATTGTTATCCGGCAATTCAAAAGAAAACCGGAGCAAATAAAACAAAACGTACTGGTTCAGGTGGTAAATGTGAGATTGAATCACTCGAGGGTAGTAGCTCATTAGCAGATCAAACGCATTCAACATCGATTATTACCGATAAGGTTTAATTTAATACTAAAAAAATTTAACCATAATTAATGAGAAAATTTAACTATAATTTAAGATTTTTCATCTCTTTTTGCTATCTCTACTTCAGTTATCAATAATTTTAGGAGATACATAGAGTCGATAATATTAAATCTGCTTCCTCGGATTCTGGTATTGGTGCAGATATGGAAAAACCAGTATCCCGATCACAAAGCATGCGTTCTCGGGTTAGTTGATGTTTTTAGGCTGAGAGTGAAATGAGTTGTTTTTTTTTTTCTATTAATTATTAATGTCTTTTTTTTTTTAATATAGGTTGATGAAATGCAAGATGGTCGACGTGGTCGATCGGCATTTTCTTGGGGTGGTGCATTAGCACTACCGGAAGAAAATGAAGAACGTCCACGACGTGCACGAAGCGATATGGATAGCGAAGATAAAGCTTCACCGGTTACCTTAACCAGATGTCCACTTGATGCTGTTTCGTTATCAGGTGAAACTAAACTGTATAGTTTTTACGAGTTACATGAATTCTGATGAAAATTATGAGAATTAATGAATTTATCACTGTTACTTGATTTTTCTAATGTTAACATGATTGATTTTGAAAAGAAAAAAAGCGTATTTTAGGAAGTTCATCTGTATCACATGCTTCCGGAGGTGAGGAGGAAGTTCGCAGATTGATAGATAAAATTGAAAAAAATACGCTTTTTGATGGCGATAGTGATCTGGAGGCTAGTGATCAATTAATAATATTATTATTATCATCAAAATTTGATTAATTCTATCATATCATAAAAGTATAAAAGTGAATTCATAAATTGATTAAAAGGTAGGATTTTGAAATTTCGTAACGATATTTTTTGAATTTTGTTGTAGGTTGAGACTGAAGTACCTACGCTGGAAAGTTTTGTTGGCTGGGAAATTGTACGACGATTGAAACCAAAAGAAAAAAAGCGACAAGAAGTTATCAATGGTTTCTTAATTAGTAATTCAAGTAGTAAAATGAAAATTAATTTATTTAAAATTATCTTCCATATATGATTTTATTAAAAATTCCTACCAAACATATCTTATCATAAACAAATGCATTGGCACAAATTTTTCTTATTATTTCAGTGCTACATTCCATTTAATAATTTTTGCAAAAATTGAAATACTTTTATTAAATATATTTTATATTTTCGAATTCTCTCAAATATTTTATTATTTTAGCTAAATTTTATCTCTTTAGAGCTTTTTCATACGGAAAGAACTCATGTGAGAAATTTGAAAATACTTTACAAAGTATTTTACAAACCAATGGTTCTGCAAAATATTGTGCCTCCAGAAGTTATCAAATTATTCTTCCCTAATCTTGAAGAACTGCTGGAAGTGCATGGTAATATGTCTAGGTAATGCTTTTTTTATCTTAATTAATATTAATATGCTTAATGCTGATGATTTATTTGTTAACTATATTTAAGCAATGAACAGTTAAAGTTACAAGGAGAAAAAAATGGCGAAATTTTTTGGAATTTCTATATGCTACATCGCGAATCTTTTAGTACAGTTCATTATTTCGGAATAAATAATCATTAATAATCGATTTATTTCAAAAGAAATAATCATATAATTATTATGATATTTTAGGATGATGAGAAATATGGTGGAGGAATGGAAACGAGATTGTGATTTAAATGGTTTATTGGGTGATATTGGTTTATTGATGGAAGATTTATTTAATGGTGAAAATGGTGTAAAATTAATGGAAGCAACTGCAACATTTTGTCAACATCAACAACATGCATTAGATATTTTAAGACAACGGTAAATTAAAAAATTCATTTTGTTTGATGAAAAAAGAAAACAATATTAAAGTTAATTCATAAATTGATTTTTTTTTTTAAAAAAAAAAAATTGATAGATGTAAAAAAGAGAAGGACGATCAGTTGAGCAGATTTTTAATGGAAGCTGAATGCAATCCATTATGTCGTAAATTACAACTGAAAGATATGCTTCCGGTTGAGATGCAAAGGCTTGTTAAATATCCTTTACTATTGGAAACTATTGCAAAGTATACGCAAGAACCATCTGAGGAACAAACAAAAATTTTAAACAGTGTTAATTCGGCCAAGAGAATACTTTCAGGTTCATTTTACATCATTTCTTCAAATTAAATCTCTTATTTAATAAATGTTTTTTTTTTTTTGAATTTTTTGAAAGATTAAAGAATGATCTTGGTTTTTTTTTTCTCTTTTTTTTTTTACTTTTAAGAATAACAAATATCTGATTTTTATTTTTCTCATATTATGAGAATTAATTTCGTGCAAATTTCTAATTTTTAGCAGTAAATACAGCAAAACGAAATGCTGAAAATTTGAGAAGATTGGAAGAGTTGCAAAAACGTTTAGTTACAACATCATATGATCGTGAAAATTTTGGCAATGATTTTCATTCCTTCAATTTAACACAGTATGTTTTTTTTTTTTTTGTTAAGTTTTTTTAAGTTTATTGAATTTATTTTACAAATCTTTATTATATGAGATAGACTGAATAATAAATTTTACTTAATAGCTACAAGCTTGTCCATGATGGACCACTCACTTGGCGTTGTAGTCGTAATAAAATGATCGAATTGCATGTTTTGCTTCTTGAAAATGTGCTAATATTGCTCACAAAAACGGGTGATGGGAGTAAATTGCTTCTAAAAATTCAGGTTCAGTTTTTCGTTTTTTTTTTTTGATGAATAAATTTTTAAAATGCTAACTTTAGTCAGTGTTTTAAAAGTAAATTATTTGTTAATATCAACGTTGATATTCGTAATAGCTCAAATTATAATGCAACAATAATTTAAAATGAATCAAAGCTTTCAAGCACACGCGCTTCTCATTACATGGAATCATGTAATCGTGGATGACGCATAACGTGAAGCAATTTAAAGTGCCATTTATCATAACACGCTAATAGATGATGAATAAAAGTGCAAGATTGATTGCTATAGATGTTATCGATCAGTTACATTGCTATTCATTGTTTCTTGCAATAAATTTTTGAACTGCTCTCAATATCATCAAAAATAAACGATGTAATTTTAGATAAAAAGAAAGGAAAATTGAAAGCATTTCTGACAAAAAAATAAAATAAAAAAATAAAATAAACATATGAGAAAACTAAGAATTAAATGATTGATTGAACAAAATGATATGGTATATATTCTATAAGTTGAAAGCATTTTGAACACCATCTGGAAAAACACATTCTCCATTTTGAATAGCTGTTTGAAGTTTTTTTTTTTTTCTAATTTAAACTTTTTTTTTCATTTCTTTAAAAGAAATATATTGGCTAACATTTAAGATAAATAATCATTGCTATATATATTTTTTTTCTTTTTATTTTTGTTTACCTTCACAGTAAATTATTTTAGTAAAAGGTTTAGGAGCCATCAAAAGATACACGATGGTCTCCCATATTACCTTTGTCAACATTAATTGCAAAAGAAAAAGCAAATGATAAAAGAGCT